TGTGGCCTCTGCCTGTCTCTCCAACCTCCCCTTATGCCTCTTTCCTATTCATTCACTACCTTCCATTGTCTTTTCAGTTCTAGACACACTCTTTACTGCTCTTGAAGGTTTTGTATATACTTTCCTCTGTCTGGAATTCTCATCCCTCCACACTTCTCATGGCTGAGTCCTTCTCATCCTCACCACCTCTTTTAAAATGGCCTTTCCTTATTCTCTACCTCATACCGTTATTCTCTATCCCAGCACCTGCTTTTTTCCTTCATAGCATGTACCACACTTTATAGTTATTTTATTTGTTGTTTTACTTATTTTAGGCTGTCTCCTCCTCCAGTAAACTATAACAGGACATCCTTGTGCCAGGGACCATATGTATCTTGTTCACTATTAAATCTCTAGCACAAATAGAATTCTTCATACATAGTAGGCACTCAAAAATATTTGTTGAACTAGCAAATGAATGAATGAAAGTCATGTGCTAATCATCATGGACTCATTATATATATACAGAGGGTTTCTGATCTCACAAACTTTATAGTACAATAAAGGATACATATCTGTTATCAGGAAACTGCAGTATTACTTAAGTGTATGATGTCAGGAGGACATAGTACTATAAGAACACATAAGAAAGGCCTGGAGATTTCTGCTTCTACTATGATGGAGTGGCTTATTTGGACCAACTCTCTCACCAAGGACAACTATAAAAGCTATCGTGGCACAGTGGTTAATAATCTGCCTGCCAATGCAGGGGAGACGGGTTCGAGCCCTGGTCTGGGAAGTTCCCACATGCCGCGGAGCAACTAAGCCCATGCACCACAACTACTGAGCCCCCATGCCACAACTACAGAAGCCCACGCGCCTAGAGCCCATGCTCCTCAACAAGAGAAGCCATCGCAATAAGTCAGCCCACCGCAACAAAGAGTAGCCCCCACTCGCTGCAACTAGAGAAAGCCTGTGCACAGCAACAAAGACCCAACACAGCCAAAAATAAATAAATAAATAAATTTATTAAAAATAAATAGATAAAAGCTATGTAAATTTTTTTAAAGAATAAGAAAAAGATGTCCAAAGAGAACAACCAAGACAGATGGGATTCAAGGCACCAAGATCTCAGAGAAAAGTGAACCACAGAGAAGTTGAACTGGAATTCTTCACCATATATTTCCTCAAGGCATTTACTAACTCCTAAGCCAGGAGGGACAGGGGATGATGTAATGGTCAAGAGGTCAAGAATCTAAGCATAACAGAATAGCTAAAAGGCTAAGAAAATAAGCAGAGTTTTCAAAAGTCTTAAGAGTTCAAGACCTGCCGTGGAGGAAGGACCCTGGCAAATATCTCAGGCTTTCAATTTAAACCCTTGAAGTGCTGTGATCTAAGAATAAGGACAAACTGGAAAAAAAAGCAGTCTTCTCAAAGACTGCAATTGAGCCTCAAATTGTCTCAGTCTCTGATTATATCAAGGTAATCTTAGTTAAGCTGCCAGAAGAAATTAAATTCTTTCTGGAGGAATATATCATCATTCAAAACCTCTGAATTTTTTTCATATATAATGTTTGGACTTTACCAGAAATAGCACAAAATAACTAAAAATTTAGAAGGGAAAACAAGATAGTACAACCGTAAAAATGGTCCTGACATTTATATTGCCTCATATGGACTTTTAAAAACTGTAATTAATGTGTTTAAGAAAAAGAAATGACAAAGAATTTCACTAGAAAATTAGAATCTATTTATAAAAACTAAATGAAAATTTGGAAAAAATATGGAAAAGAGCATAAAAGACGTATGGGATTTGGTGAAAGGTGTAACATATGTGTAATTGGAGTCCCAAAAGGAAAGGAGAGAGTGAACAAAGGCAATATTTAAGAGATAATGGCAGAGAGTTTTCCAAAACTAATAAAAGACATAAAGCCAGATATTCAAGGAGTTCTGCTAATCTCAAGCAGGATAAATACAAAGAAACCATACGTAGGTAGTCATAGCAAAACTGCTGAAAACCAAGGACAAAGAGAAACATCTTACCAAAAAGACATGTTACCTTCAAAGGACCAAAAATAGAACTAACAGAAATGATTTAAACAGAAATTATGGAACTCAGAAAACAATGGAGGGACTTCCCTGGTGGTCCAGTGGTAGAGAATCTGCCTTCCAATGCAGGAAACACAGGTTCAATCCCTGGTCAGGGAACTGAGATCTCACATGCTGCAGGGCAACTAAGCCCACGCACCACAACTACTGAGCTTGCACGCCTCAACAAGAGAGCCCATGTGCCGCAAACTACATACCCCGTGCACCCTGGAGCCCACACACCACAACTAGAGAGAGAAAACTTGCACGCCACAACTAGAGAGAATCCCACATGCCACAATGAAGACCCGACACAGCCAAAATAAAATAAAATATTAAAAAAATAAAAACAAAATCAATGTGTTCAAAACAGAACTTCTAAAACATAAAAGAGAGAACAATGGAATGACATTTGTAAAATGCTGAAAGAAAATAAAAGCTAGTGTGGAACTGAACTAGATAAAAACTGAACAGACCAATCCTAAAGGGAGTTTTTCAGGTGGAAAGATTATGGAAGCATGAAAATGTAGAAAGGACTAAAGAGCAAAGGAAAGGGTTAATATGTGGGTAAATGTAAATGAATTGTTATCTTGAGGTTTAAATGTATATAAATATATATTGAATATATAGAGTATATATTGTTTGTATAGTATATGTAGAATGTATATATATAATAGTTATATATATACACACACACACATATTTATAATGTATATAGAGTATATGATACATGATAGCACGAAAAGGAAAGAGGAATGGATGGAGTTAACATGTTTTAAAGTTCTTACATTGGGAAGTGATAAAAATACCAAATTATGATAGATTGTAGTAAGTTAAGAATGCATGTTGTAATCTCTAAAATAACCACTATAATAGTAAGAGAATGTGTAACTAACAAATAGAAGAAAAAGAAAATTAAATAACAAAAAATTTTGGTGAATTGGAAGAAGACATGAAAGAAGAAAAAGAAAAACAAAAGTGACAAATAGGTAATGAATAGGAGGGCAATAGTTTTAAACCCCAAATATAGCAATAATTATATTAAGTGTAAATGGACTGAGTCCTCCAATTAAAAATTGTCATTCTGGATTTTAAAAAACAACAAATTGCATGATGCTTATAAAAGACCCACCTTAAATATAAGGACACAGCTCATTGAAAGTAAAAGATGAGAAAAATGTTACAAGGAAAGATAGCTGGTATGACTCTCTTGATGTCAGAGAAAATTAAGATAAAAAGGATTACTAGATATTAGGTGGAGGGACATTTCCTATTCATATATGTACATGGATCAGTTCATCAAGTAAATTCTAAATTACTGCATCTAATAATATAACCTAAAAATAAACACTAATCAATCTACTATCCAGCCCTGGGAATTCAGGGGAGGCTGAGAAGATGACTGAGATTGAGAGTCATCTCAGAGATTGAGAGAGAGGAGGGTGGAAAGAAAGAGTATTCTAAACGGAAGGAAGAACATTTTCAAAGATTTGAGGCAAGAAAGTGTAAAAACTGACAGCAATATAGTCCTGCTGGAATGTAGAGAGAGAGAGATTAAGGAAGAGGAATCAGGCTGGTGGGAAAAGGATTGCCTGATAAGAGCAATGATTGGCAAAAGGGGACTAGAAAATACAAGAATCTTAGCTATGATATTTAAAAGCTGAGACTTGTTTCTGGAAACCAGGAAGTTATTGAAGTATTATATATTGATTTGATCAGATTTGTTTCCAGGAGGCCTCTCTCACTACTGTGGCGGGAATAAATTGGAGGAGGGCAGGAGTGTTGGCAGAGAGACCTATTTCAGTAATTCAGGTGAGATGATGTTGGCTGAGGCTGTGGAGATAGAAGGAGACAGCTTTTAAAAATAAAGTGTCCCGGGCTTCCCTGGTGGTGCAGTGGTTGAGAGTTCGCCTGCCGATGCAGGGGATACAGCTTCGTGCCCCGGTCCGGGAAGATCCCACGTGCCGCGGAGCGGCTAGGCGCATGAGCCATGGCCACTGACCTGCGCGTCTGGAGCCTGTGCTCTGCAACAGGAGAGGCCACAACAGTGAGAGGCCCGCGTACCGCAAAAAAAATTAAAGTGTCCCATAACTTGTGAAATATTTAAAATTTTAGTAGGTTACTAGAATCTTGGATTAGTGAGCAGGAAACTCAGTAATAGACCAAGAGGTTGTATTACTTAAGAGAAACTTTTTAAACTGCAATTTTTTTCTTTATGTTTACAAAACCAACTACAAGCCAGTATTGCCTTTCCTTTCCAAAGATCATGTTTTGTCAGATGGCTCTGGGTTGGTCATAACCTTAGGTTGGTTGTGTTGGTAATAGCAGAATATAAAGTTGGAGCAATTAAACACCCTTGACTTTCTGTTTTAGAGCTCCCTCCCTACATTTTTAGTTGACTTATTTAGATTTGGTAATCTGTGGGCAAATGTCCAAGTGTCTCCTCAAGGAATGTGCATCATTTTAAGTTATTAGACAGAACAGTGTATGATGCATACATGTGGCTTCCCTGCCCAGGCACAGCTACTTAAGTCATATTTATTAACATCCTTTCTCAGACATAAAAATCTGTCTTAAAAGAGAGACAACAACCTATCAAGTAATGATTTATATGTTAATGTGGTTACTTGGTTTACTATCTAACTACTTCTATTAGAATGTACCTTTTATGAGGGAAGGGACATTGTTTCTTTTGCTCCAGGCTGTATCTCCCTGTACATAGATTGATACTCAACATATACCAGGTGCTCAGTAAATATTTACTGAATGAATAAATGAATGAGGAATGAAGGAATATTTGTCTTAAATCAACTTCACTAAAATAAGGTGTTTCTTTTCATTTCAATCTTACAAATTTATTTTTTTTCATTTAAAGTTTGAAAGTCTGATATTAGAATGTTCGAAAATAAAGTGATTATTTTTCATATTTGCAGGACTATCTCAAGCAGGTGCTGGACATTGATCTTCATGCCCAGATCCATTTTGGCAGGGTTTTTATGAAACCAGGGTATGAAAATTATCTTGTTATCTAATATATGGGGTTGGTTTGGCTTGCTTTGACTAACAAAGTTTTTAAATGCTTTCTTTTTACATTTTCTATTATGGATTATTTATTCTAATAAAAGAAATATTATAGTATTAGAGTTCTCTGAACAAGTGTATATCCTATCTGAAATGGGAATTCATCTTCTTTATAAATCACTGGGTCTGGTTTAAACAAAGCAAAGCAACTTTCCAAACCTTTTCTCCCTTTAATTTCCATGTCTAGTTCCTTCCTTCTCTTTTTCTGCTTCTTTCTCTCACTTATAACATTTCAGTATGAAAATTCTCAAACGTACACAAAAGCAGGGAGTACAATGAAACCCCCATATACCCATCGCCCAACTTCAGTAACTATTTTTCTGTAATTGTTTTATCAATCCTCTTCTTCACCTTTTTGGGGGGGCAGAGGGCTGGATTGTTTTAAAGCAAGTTCTAGACATGTCATTTTAGTATACATCTCAAATATTAATAACAACAGCAGTACTTTCTTACATAATCACAATGGTATTATCTCAGGTAACAGAATAAATAAGAATACCTCAGTATCATCTAATACTGTGATCGTATTTGAAAATTCTCCCAAATGTCAAGGAAAAGTATGCCTTCTTACATATGTTTTATTTGAATTAGGATTCAAGTCAGGTCTACTCACTGTATTTGGTTAAGTTTCTATTAAACAGGAACATTTACCAACCACCGCCCCCCTTTTTTGGCATGCCACTGACTTGTTGAAGCAACTGAATCTTTTGTCCTAGTTTTGTCCTAGTGAATGGATTTGGCTGATTGCTTCCTTGTGGTGGCATTTAATTTGTTCCTGTCTCTCTCCAGTATATTCTGTACATCAGAAGTTAGATCTAAAGGTTTGAGTAGATTCAGATTCAACTTTTTTTTTTTTGTAAGAATACTTCATGAATAGTGTTTCATACTGCTTCTTACTACCTTCCAAGAGGAAAGAAAAGTAACCACATACCTAGATCTTGCATATCTCCTGAAAACTAATAGCTCCCTCAGGAAGGGCTAATGGAGGTTCTGTAATCCATTGTAAATCCTCAAAGAATGCAAACATTGGTGTTGATAAAATATGTGTGGCCATGTCTTTAAACAACAGCCTGCCTGTTGAGACCCCTGCTCCTCTATAAACCTGTGATATGTAAACATTATAAAAACACTGTTGAAAGCCCTCAGTGTGTGGGTGAGCATTCCAGCACACCTCCATGCTGTCAGGGACAACAGTAATGATGCTTTAGTTCAGGGTCATACTCTGATGGGTGCTCATATGAACCCTAAGAGAAAGTAGAGGTGGGACTTACCAGTTGTTACAAGTGAGCCATGGGAACTAGCAGCAAATTCCAGAAACCTTTTTAAGTGTCAAGCCAGCACTCCTAATCTCCCTGATTTATTGGATACCTTGTGTCAGTTCTAAGGCAGAGATCAGGCTTTACATTTAAATATGAAGTTAAGATTGTCCCTAAAGCCTTCTCCACAATGTAATAGAATTTAGAATTCTTGGCATTATATTTCTGTAGTTGCTCTGATATGCTGCCACTGACAAGGCCCTTTTACTATTGAAGGTGTTGGATTGGGATCATTCCTATTAAGAATATCTTGTCTTAAGCAAATATTATTATGCTATGAGTACACAGGCTTTTTTTACTCTGTCCCCATGGGCAGTACTAATTTGATTAGAATACAGAGGACATCCCAAAAGTATGTCAGTGTACTTCTCACTAATCTCAAAAATTGAATTGATTATTCCTTTGCAGTGAGAAAGAAGCTGACATTACTTACCCTCACCTCTAGAGGAGAAATATTTGTATAATATCTATTATTTAAATTATCTATTATTTAAATTAATCTCAGCATCCATGATGTATAATTTTGGTATTCATTTTATTTTTAGTCTATTATTTACCACTTACTTCAGCTGTAGGACTTCTGTGACTTCGGTTATTGTATAAAAGCTGTTGCATTCTGATCTCAAGAGGAAAAATGAACAATAGGTGTTGAGTTTCAAGGAAATGGCTTTCCAGATCCTAAACAAAAACTTCACAGTCTAGCAATAAAACACTCATGATAGCAGCGCACATAACAAAATGTTTTATTGTAATGGAATCTTTTTAAAATGAGTACCTTCAGAGAAATCACACTAGCTGTCTGCAAGGTTCAAAAGATGATTTAAATTGGCTTTAAATACAGTAGAAGGAAGGTGTTATGCATTCCCTCCTCAATCTTATTATGTGTGTTAGTTTGCTATTAAAAAAAAAGTGGTTTAGAAGTTTAAATGGGCTTCCTTTAATTGTCCAGAATTTTATACTTGTCTGAAGATAAGAAGAATTTAAAGGTAATTGCTACTTAATAGTAGAATAAGAAGAAATATAAAAAGCTCAAGAACAATTTAGCTTTGCTCTTCCCACATACAGTACATTCAGAATGCAATTAACCTCTTTCCTTTTAGACACGGAGATACTCAAAAAGCATTTGGAATATTATCAACCAGATCTACCAACCACAGTTTTTTATGGGTCATCTACAGTGAGCATAGCTGTTGTCGAAAATGTACCTTGGAAATTATTTTCATCACACAGTAACAGTCATTGCCAAATAACCTATCTATAAATGGATATGACATTCTAATCTCAGTTTTCTAAAACACAGCAAAGAATCAGGAAGTAAGCAAAAAAAAGGCCTCAGAGTAGCCAAGAATAGATGTTACGAAGTCCATGTAATAACACTTCACAGTGTACCCTGTGAGAGCCTTATCTAATTATGAGCCATAAAGTTAGAAAAACCTTGGTTCAAATCTTAGTATCTGAGTAATTTTGGCCAAATTGCTTAATCTCTCTCTCATTTTCCTCATCTGTAAAATGGGATGACAATTGTCACCTCATGGGATTATTGTAAGAATTAAACGATATAATGCTTAGATGTTTCTTTAAAAATAGTAACTTCTATTATTACTATTATTATTATCATCCCAACAATATAACTATTACTACTGCTCTCTGGTTCCCAAACCAAAGGCCAGCTTTAAGGGTCAAGATGATGGCAGTCTAGCATTAAGGGGACCTACAGAAAAAAAAACTAGGGGAAAAAAACAGAAACAAGAACTATAGAAACACCGCCACGTGTACTGTTATGTTATGGTTTAATACCCCTGTGACCCAAAATCTCTGTATCATAGCAGAGTAGAATCAATCCATAATGATGGCTGTAGTTCATCAAAAATATTAATGTTCATCATATTATTGCAAAAGGTAATGAGTGAGTGATCCTTTCTTCTTTCAACCAACGAGCAAAAATAGTAAAAAGAAAAACAATTTGGGTGCTTAAAAGGGTAATTTTTCAGCTACTTTTAAATCTCAGCATTCCCTAAGAATTTTGCATCACTCAAGATTCATTAATATAATAAAAATTTTAGCTGAAATTCTATATTAAGGGTAATCAATAAAAAAAAATCACTATTATTAACCGCCTGCCCTCTTCACACTCACACCCCTCTGCACACCCCCATGATGAGCGTTCATGTCAGACTTTTGAGGAAGTATAATTTGATAATATTCTTAAATTACTATTGCTTTAATTTTGTTCTAGTCATGGTATTTTATTTATTTTGACATTTCAAAACATTCCCTTCATAGGAGGGAAACTTCTATGTTTATTTCTGAGTATAGTCTTAAAGGGCTGAGAAATACTCATCTTGAACAATAGGTAGTTATCTGATAGACATGTATTACCAGGTAGTCTTCAGATAAAAAGAATGATTGTTATTCTCCAGCAGAAAAAAAAAAACGTATAGACATTGTTAACTAGAGGGGTGGAGAAACTCCAGGATTTGGCATATGCTTCTATGGCACTGGCAAGAAGGAAAACAATGTAAACTACAGAAAACCAGGAAGTTTGGTTACCTGAAAACAGAAGATGCTAAAAAAGAATTAATTTAAATGCCCTCGAAACACTTCAGGTTATAAAGATTTAAAGGAGAATCAACAGAAAAGAACTTTCACACAATAGGTGACCTGTATGAAGAACCATGTAACAAGAAAACTGCAGTATTTAACTTACTACTCAGGTTGCTTAGCAGTCACTAACAAACAACCTCTACTTTTCCTCTAGCCTGCCAACGACATTTGCAACTTTGGATATTGATGGTGTAAGAAAAATAATCTTTGCACTACCAGGTAAGAATAATTGAAATAGTTTCTTTTGCTTTTTCTGGAAAAATAACCAAAATCTTTTTGTTTCCCAGGTGACCAGTCCCCTGTCAGAGCGCATGATTTGGAATCTGACACACCTGGGTTCAAATCCCAGCTTTTCATACTGTATGACCTTGGACAAATCACATAACCTCTCTGAAGCTGTTTCTTCATCTGTAAAATGGGGCTAATTAGGGTTGGTGTGAAAGTCAAATTAGTATCTTTCAAAGCACATTTCAGACCCTAAGATGGTAATCAGGAGTTAAGTGTCACTACCTCTTTCTAGGGCACCTGCTTTTCCTTACAGGAAATTGGTCAAAGTTAGCAGTATAATTACCTCTCACAACTAGAGTATTATGCTCAATGGGCCAAAGGGCCTTAAATCGCCCATGGAAATACTAGAACAAAAAAGTACAAAGCTGCCTTTGGTTCTCACCAGATTTGGACTGGTTGGGGAGAGCAGCAACACAGGAGGGACTGCAAATACTGATGCTTCTCAGCCAAATCCCAGGCATCATCAGTCTGACCACATCATTATCCCCACCCTCTCCCACGTGAGCAGAAACTCACGTGTTCAGATTATAGAAAAAGCAAAGTGGTTCAGTTTACAATTTTTGGACTTTGGCTGTGCATTTAAAGCCAGGTTTTAAAGCCATTACTAATCTTGATAAATTCTAAAGCAGTTTAGAAGTTTTGTGTATCTACTTATTTTTTTCAATTTTAAAAATTATCCTCTGATCTGTAGCAGTGTCCCATTCTCTATTTTTTGGCATAGATTCCTTTAGAAAATAACCTACTTATTCCTTTCAGATGTACAAGTCTGGTGGCTTTGGGATATTTACCTGCTTTTTTATATTAAATAAAGCTCAAAATAGAGATAGAAAGAAAAGAAGGCAGACAGAAAATTTTAGAACTTTAAAAACATGTTTAAAGCCCCTATCTGTAAGCATAAAAGAGAGTATGTTTCTCTCATATAGGAAATTTTAAGAGCGAGGTCATGTAAATAAAGTTTTAGTCTTCAAACGATTTCTGTGGTACAAAACTCCTTAGGGCCTTTAATACATCCCTAGATACTCTGAAGACCATTATATAGAGAAATGAAATCATCTTCCTAGCTTCATTTTGACTAGAAGAGACTGTTTTTGTTGTCTACAGAAGATATGACTTGACCTACAAAGTATGTTATAGTGGGAGCCTATTTTGCCATTACTAAGTGTTGTTGATCTGCCAAAGAAGTTATAATTAAATAGCCTATTTTCAAATTGCTGCTTTATTTTGAGATTTTCACTGCTCAGCCTGAAAGTACCAAAAGAGGGCAGCAACAATTCACATGTTCAGATTGTAGAACCAGCAAAGTGGTTCTTTTTATAAGGATTTGAAAAGTCAGAATTGGATTTTTGGTTTCTTAAGGTCCTTGCAATTAAAGCCATTACTAATCTTGATAAGTTCTAATGCAGTTGAAAAGTTATGTGTTATCTACTTGTTCTTTTTTTAACTTTTTAAAATTACTATAGTAACGTGTTCACTGTAAAAACATTAGAAAACACGGATAAGCATTAAGAAATGTTATCCATAATCTCCCTCCCCCTGAAATAACCACTATTTGCAATTTTCTTGTTGTTGATTTTTCCAGTCCCTTTTCTTATATAGAACAATTCATTTTTTATAGAGTAATTTTATAAAACAGTATCATTACAAGAATACTGTAATCATTGTTGAGCAATAGCTTTCTTATTTATTTTTCTTTTATTTTTCCTTTTTTTTGCTTTTCCAGAAAAATTTCCATCTGTTTATATTTTGAGGCAAGAGGAAAGCAATTGATTCTCATTAAGAGTCTGCTGTCCTGTGGGACAACTCACTTTTTCTATTGAAATAATCAATGTCATTCATCACAACTTTTTTTAACAACTTAAAAAAAATCTATTCTTAACTGCTTTTGTGGGTAGAAGAAAATTAAAGGTATGCTTTTAGCTAGTAATAGGCTAAACTGACCACTGCTTTTATTTTGATGATGAAATTAGCAGCACAAAGCCAGGCCAAGGTAACCTAAAATATAATAAGCATTCCCCACCCCCTCTCTCTCTATATATATGCATACTCACATACCACTGTATAAAAGTATTAGTAAAATTTGAATTTTAGAACCAAAAGGAATATTAAGAATCATATAATCCAAACCTTTCATTTTGTGGATGAGTAACGTTAGACCCAGAAAGGTTTGGAACTCTTGCCTGGGTCGCATGGCTTGGTTAGTTAACAATACCACACAAGAAGCGAAATCTGTTATTCTCAGCTCAGTCATTTTTTTCATAGCCCACCATACCTCTCTTTGAAGTGCATGACACACCCAGATTTCTTCTTGGAGAGGTACAGTTGAATTCCTCAAATTTTTCTTATAACTGCAAAAAAACTTGGTATTTGTATTAATCTGCTCAGGCTGCCATAACAGAATATCACAGACTGGGTGGCTTAAACAACAGAAATTTATTTTCTCACAGTTCTGAAGACTGAAAGTCTAAGATCAAGGTGCCAGCAAGGTTGGTTTCTGTTACGATCTTTCTTCCTTGCTTGCAGATGGCCACCTTCTCTCAGTGTCTTCACATGACCTTTCTTCTGTGTATACACACTCGTGTTTCTTCCTCTTTTTATAAGGACACCAGTCCTATTGGATTAGGGCCTCACCCTTACAACCGCATTTAATTTTGGTTACCTCTTTAGAGGTCCTTTCTCCAAATACAGCCACATTGGGGGTTAAGACTTCAACATATGAATTTGAGGGGAACATAATTCAGTTCCTAAGAGTTTTGCCTTCAAGTCCTTCACGTCTTAAATCATTGTTGTTTTTTTTTTCAGTTTAAAGAAAATTTTGGTTAGAGGGGATTATGGATAAATTTCTTTATTCTTATCCTACTTGCTAATTTTTTTTTGCACTGAGCATGTACTACTATGGTAATTTTAGAACATTTTAAAAATAGCAAGTGCAAACTCATTACTAAAGGCTTTCAATGTACGGCTCTCAGGAAAACAGATATAAATGGTGTCAAACAGCTTCTGTGCATCAGAAGTCTCTGCATTTCACTGCTAGATCCAAATATTTACACCCTCTGTGGCATTTGGTCAACTACAGCTCTCTTCTGGCCTCCTTTTGGATTCAAGGTGATTCAGAAGAAGAACGCTAGTGGTTAGTCATTTCACTCTCTATGATACCTGAAGGTATAGACAGTCATAATTATATGGCAAATTTTTATGTGTGTACTATAAATAACTGCTTGGTTGACTTTCAGGGAATCCTGTGTCAGCCGTGGTCACCTGCAATCTCTTTGTTGTGCCTGCACTGAGAAAGATGCAAGGCATCTTGGATCCTCGGCCAACCATCATCAAAGCCAGGGTAATGTTTTCTAATGACCGGAAACCAAAATTGAAGCCTAATAACAAATTAGGGTATGATTTTTTAACTGCCCAAAACAAACATCTAGAATTTTATATTAGTTTTGAGGAAAAATGTGGTTATAGTCCCCTCTTCATGATAGAAAACAGAGGGAAAGGAGTCCCTTTTATTCCCTTCCCACATTATTCCATGACTCCTAAAGTGAATAATTTTCTCCAGCTAGAAGTCCATTTAGGAGTGGATATGTAATGACAAAATGGTCAATAGAATACTAAACTAATACTAAACCTATATGGAAGGAGGGACAAGAATTTCCCCTATGTAAACTTAGAGAGAACAGCAATTTAGCTGATCACTTTTTCTGTGACCCCGCTGATAAATTTTAAACAGTTCAGAAAAAGACAAAGGACAAGAAAGAGACTCTAGTGAAGAAGAAGAAAAGGGAGACCATATTGTTTGGAAAAAGGACCACTAAGGCTGAGGAATTATACCTGCAGTAAAAATCACTCCGAAATTATAGTCCCCTTCTCCACCAACACTAACTTCAGTTTGCTTTACTACTACTAGTAAACTAATTATGTAACACAGTTTCTATGTAATAACTAATGAACAATTTTCCTGGCAATTTAAACTATAATACTAAATCAGTACTTTTCTTTCTTTTAAGCCTTACTAAGGTATAATTGATATACACAAATTGCACATATGTAATGTAGACATTTTGATGAATTTGGACATATGCAAACACCTGTGATACCGTCATCACAATCAAGGTACTAAACATATCCATCACCTCCAAACATTTCTTTGTGTTCTTTGATTTGTTTGTTTATTTCATGCTAAGAACATTTAATGTGAGAACTATCCTCTTAAAGTATTTTAAAGTGCACAATACCACATTGGTAACTATAGGTAATATGTTGTACAGCAGATTCTTTAAAACGTATTCACCTTGCATAACAGAAACTTTATATCCATTGAGCAACAATTTCCCTTCCCTCCTCCCCTCAGCCCCTGACAACCACCATGCTATTCTCTGCCTCTGTGAGTGACTATTTTAGATACTGTCTATAAGTGGAATCATGCAGTATTTTTGTAACTGGCTTATTTCACTTAGCATCGTGTCCTCTAGGTTTATCCATGTTGCCTCATGGAAAACAGCATGAGGTTACTCAGAAATTAAAAGTAGAACTACTATATGATCCAGCAATCTCACTTCTGGGTATATGTCCAAAAGAATTGAAATCAGGATCTCAAACAGATATTTGCACCCCAGTGTTCATTATAGCATAATTCACTATACAAAGATAAGAAAACAACCCAAATTTCCAACAACAGATGAATGGATAGGGGAAATGAAGTGTATGTGTACAATGGAGCATTATTCAGCTTTAAAAATGATCAGTCATTGAACATCAAAAGGTATAATTGGATACCTGTTATATGGGAATATAATGGCCTATGGATTGGTTAAAAAACATATTGAAAATGAGAGAACTGTCTATGATTTATAAGAAATATAAACCAGTTTTATTATTATTCGGAGATGAAAAATATAACTAGGTTATAGAAACTTTGGAAAAATTAACTTAAAACTGATCTGCACCAACAGGTGTAAGAATTTTTAAAGTTACTTGATAAATTTTAGATGATTTATAAGGCAGATGAGCTCGAGCGCCTCTCTGTTGGACTAATGAAATCAGTGCCTCATAACTTCTCTAGTACTTTTAAAAGTTAGTGTAAAGCTCCTTTAACCACTCTTTGGAAGTGTTGACCAGACTTGAGCAGAGTCCGGGCCCTTAGTACCAACCAGGGCCTGGAGCATGTCACGTGGGACCTCCACTCTAATAGAATCCCCTCTGGTCATCTGTTTTCTCACAAACTCTCTTCTCCAATCTGTGCGGCTTAGTCCAGCCTCTTCCCTGAGTCTCCTGGAGCTTTCACCTTCCCCTCATTACCACCATCAAACCTTCCCAAGACTTTCAGGTCTTTGGCAATCGTCTAAAAGTCTTCTCTCCCTCACCTCTTAGAATCAGTTGCTTTATTTTCATAATTCTAAATAACTTTATTTCTGCTTCAGCAACTCAATACACATATCCTTTTTAATACCCTGAAGTGCTCCATCTCAAAAATCACCAACTCTGGTATACAGTTTAGGAACAATGGCAAGTTACCTACCAGTAGATATAAAAGAATTTAAACACTCCTATAACACCTTCCCTTTTCCCTTTCCATAAGTCCCTTCTGGCTTTACCCCTTTCCTCATCCAACCTAAATCCTGTGGCGTATCACCTCAGTGTTTTTCTAACACCCTCAAATTTTTTTTGCCTCTTCTTCCACGAACTGTGGTAACTCTAAGAATCCACAAGCTTAGATCAATCCTCCCTTTTTTGTCCTTCCGTTTTATTCCCAGGGCACTGAGTACAACTAGAGAAGAGAGTACAGCTGTTCAAGCTATCACTTCCAATTTACAAACCTCAGCAGGGGCCAAAATTCCCCTTGATGATCCTTTTATATCCTGTGGATCAACTTTTTCCATTCCTTACTGCAGTCTTCCAAATCTTCACCATTCTCCTAAAGCGCCCTCCACCATCCACATCCCCTGTGTTTTGTAGCCAAATAAGCTGGTTTGAATGATGGCTCCAATGTTTAATGGTTTCTCTTCTAATCCTGCCTCCTTTTAAATCCCTTTTCTAACTCTAATCATGTCAGCATCTCCAATTAAAATTCTTCAATGCTTCCCATGACCGCAGGGTTAAATCCAAACTGCTCAAGTGAGCACAGGAGGCCCTCCATCCCAAGGCCTGTTTTCCCCTCCAGCTTCATCTGCTTCCCATCCTGCACTCTGACCATACCAAGCTTTTTACTGCCTCCAGAACGGACGTGAGATCTCCTTCCTAGGAGGTTCTCTCCTAATCACCCCCATCTCTTTTCTCAGCTTGGAAAATTCCTTAGTCATAAGACTCAGGCATCATGCCCTCTGTGAAGCCTTTCTCAGTGTCCCTAAGAAGGGTTGATTATTTACTTCTTTGTGCCCTATTACACTGTGTTTGCAATTAATTATTTACTGTATTAGATAATTCTTTGAGGTCACTTCTCTAAAAGATGGACAGGACAAAGAGGAAGGAAAAAAATATTTTCCCCTTTTTTTAAGTAACAAACTTTGTTTTTAGAGCACATTTAGGTTCATAACAAAATTAAGTGGAAACTACAGAGAGTTCCTGTATTACTCCTCCTCCCCACCCCATCCTTACACACACAACCTTCCCAGCTGTTGACGTCCTGCACCACAGTGGTACACTTGTTACAATCAATGAACCTACAGTGACACATCATTATCACCCAAAGTCCATAGTTTACATTAGGGTTTACTTTCAGTGTTGTGTATTCTAGGGGTCTTGACAAATGTACAGTTACATGTATCTACCATTGTATATCGTACAGTTTCACAACCCTAAAAACTCTCTGTGCTCTGCCTATTCGTTCCTCCCTCCCTGCTCACCCTTGATCTTTTTACTGTCTCCATAGTTTTGCCTTTTCCAGAATGTCATATTGTTGGAATCATACAGTATGTTACCTTTTCAGATTGTCTTCTTTCACTTATTAATATGCGTTTGTTCCTCCGTGTCTTTTCACGGCTAGATAGCTCATTTCTTTTTAGCAAGGAATAATATTCCATTCTCTGGATATACCACCGTTTATCCATTCACCTACTGAAGGGTATCTTGGTTGCTTCCAAATTTTGGCAATTATGAATAAATCTGCTATAAACATTTGTGTGCAGGTTTTTGTATGAACATAAACTTTCAGTTCACTTGGGTAAATACCAAGGACTGTGATTGCTGGACTGTATGATAAGAATATATTTCGTTTTGTAAGAAACTGCCAAAATGTCTTCCAAAGTAGCTCTACCATTTTGCATTCCCACCGTAGTGAATAAGAGTCCCTGTTCTTCCACATTCTCAGTAGGATTTGGTGTGGCCAGTGTTTTGGATTTTGGGCCTTTCTAGTAAGTATCTAGTGATATCTCATTGTTGTTTTAATTTGCAATTTCCTAATGACTTACGATGTTGAACATTTTTTCATATGCTTACTTCTCATGTGTATATCTTCTTTGGTAAGGTGCTCAATTCTTTTGCCCAGTTTTTAATTGGGTTGTTCATCTTCTTATTATTGAGTTTTAAGAATTGTTTGTGTATTTTGGATAACAGACCTTTATCAGGTGTGTTTTTTTTACAATTATTTTCTCCCAGTCTGTGGCTTATCAGCTCATTTCATTGACCTTTCTTTTTTTTTCTTCTCATTCTCTCTCTTAGACATTCACATGTAGAGCATACCATACAATACTATACCAAATAATACAATTTTATCTCTTGAGTGACTACTGTGTGCCAGCAAAATATTCAAAGGCAACAGAGGACTCCTAGCCCACAGCTCACTGCCCAGTTTTGAAAGAGTAGAAGAAATCGGCAGAAGTGAAACATCCACCATTTGCAGTGTTTTTCCACCAAAATATTGATATATGTGTATGTTTACTCATGGTACATCATTCTTATAAGCACTGAAGCTTATAGTAAATAGGTGCTTTCTTAAGCTAACTGATGTAATATACCAGAACTATAATGTCAGTGTAACTAAATATATTGGTGAATAAAGTATTCTGCATTTCAGTAAAATACCATGAAAATCTAATTAGCTTCATCTCTTGCTGCAAAAGGAGCAGCTGTTTGTGAGGCTGTGAAAAAATTTCATTCACTTTAATTTGATGCAATTGATTCTTCTTTATTAAATTAACAAATATCTTCCTTTAAAACAAACAACCCCATTTTGTAGATGAACAAACAGGTATGGGAAAGCAAAATAAGTTGCCAATACAGCACATCGGTTAGCAGTAAAACTGGGAGTAGAACCTAGGTGCCAGTATCTTCCCAGTACAGTATTTGCTCCACTGTACTTCCATGAGCCAGTCAGTGCCATTGCTGGGGAAAAACCTTAAACACTTAGCAAATGACACAGCCACATGAATAGCTCTTGTGGTCTAGTACTGGAGAACGCACACACCCACACACTCAGGTTGAAAGACAGATTTTTGTCCTCAGGTAAGCACAGAATAATTTAGGAACAATGGCAAGTTACCCCCCAGTAGATATGAAATAGGGTATAAACATAAGTAATATCATGTGAAAGAGTAGAGTGTGATTTAATCAAGGAGAAACACCCTAGAATTGAATTTTATTCTGGATTCCAGAGGAAAAGCATAATTAGAATGTTTTAATATTCTAATTAGATTATTAGAATACTTTTTAAAAAGTAACCAGAATGGATTAGAGATAAACTCACTTCAATAAAAATTTCCAGGTCAAGTTTTAACTGTATCATTTAATCCAAGCAATATCTGTTTTAGTTGAGTAAAGGATTTCTAGACCATTTTAAGATAGAGTAACTTAAACGATTATTATGCTAATGGAAAATGTTAATTCTCATGCATTGGAATGAGTCTTGTTTTCACTAACATTGAACTAATCTTTGATGGGCTATAGATCATAATTATGTACTGTATAAACTTGTTCAAGTTATACCTTTTAGGCACCTGCTACCAACACATTATCACCTTGATCAGATTTCAGGATGACTTTAATGACATAGATAAAAAAAAAAAACCAGTGGCTCCAGGTTGAAGGTTGATTGGTCATTCTGTATAATGTGTGTGAACAGAAATTGGCTATGTTACAAAGATATGAAAGATGCCATTCCATAGCAAAGACTCATTCAGAGGAATTCTTTTAGTGCCAGTGATGTGACCAAACCAAAGTGGTATAAATTTTATGAGACTATTTTTATTTGCTTTAATGAGATTGTTTATCAGTATTGGGACTGATATAATCAGTCCTGATAATAGGATAATCTGATAATCAAGAGAAAAGAAAGTAACTATCCCTTTTGATTAATCTCTAAAATATACAAATACCTCATGCAACTCAATATCAAAAAAACAAACAACTCAATCAAAAAATAGGCAGAGGAGTTAAATAGACATTTCTCCAATGAAGACATATAGATGGCCAGGGGGCACATGAAAAGATGCTCAATATCACTCATTATTAGAGAAGCGCAAATCAAAACTATAATGAGATAGTCAGAATGGCCATCATCAAAAAATCTACCAACAATAACTGCTGGAGAGGGTGTGGAGAAAAGGGAACCCTCCTACACTGTTGGTGGGAATGTAAACTGGTACAGCTACTACGGAGAACTGTATGGAGATTCCCTAAAAAACTGAAAATAGAGCTACCATATGATCCAGCAATCCCACTCCTGGGCATATATCCAGAGAAAACCATAATTTAAAAAGATACATGCACCACAGTGTTCATTTCAGCACTATTTACAATAGCCAGGACATGGAAGCAACCTAAATGTCCATCAACAGAAGAATGGATAAAGAAGATGTGGTACATGTATACAATGGAATATTACTCAGCCATAAAAAAGAATGAAATCATGCCATTTGCAGCAACATGGATGGACCTAGAGATCATCATACTGAGTGAAGTAAGTCAGACAAAGACAAATATCATAGGATATCACTTATATGTGGAATCTTAAAAAAGGGTACAAATGAACTTATCTACAAAACAGAAATAGAGTTACAGATATAGAAAACAAACTTAGGGTTACCTGGGGGTAAGGGGGGGAGGTGAGGAAGGATAAATTGGAAGATTGGGATTAACCTATACACACTATTGTAAAATGGATCACTAATAAGGACCTACTCTATAGCACAGGGAACTCTACTCAGTACTCTGTAATGGCCTATATGGGAAAAGAATCTAAAAAAGAGTGGATTTGTGTATATGTATACCTGATCCACTTTACTGTACACCTAAAACCAATACAACATTGTCAATCAGCTATACTCCAATAAAAATTTTAAAAAGGAAGTATCCCTTTCATATTAAAGATAAGTGTATGAACGAGTAGCTGAATTAGCACCTCAGTAAATCTTTACTGGATGGATGGATGGATGAATGGATGGATGGATGGATGGATGGATGGACAGTTGGATGACACACCGATAAATGGATGTTGAGCTTGTATGCTTGTGTAGGTCTACCTCCTTTATTTTCAATGTTAAAACATCTGCCTTGATTTCTTAATTCATAGGTCAGAGGTAAAATTAGAATTCAAAAATAGACTTTATATTTTTCATCTGCCCTTTTTCCTACTGCGGGTACCAACTTCTTAGCCTTCTTTTCTCTTTTCACCAGAGCAACGCAACCTCTGGACTTCCTGTATTAAGAACATAAGGTGGCAGTGGTGGAGATAGCAGAATGCCAAGATATTTCCATGTCCATTGAACTCTTTGCACAACTGCCACCACCCTGTAGTTTTAAGAGATGATCAGGTGATCAAGTTTGTTTTCTTTTCCTCGTTTTTCTGTAGTTATCATGTGATGTAAAACTGGATCCTCGCCCAGAATACCATCGGTGTATACTGACTTGGCATCACCAAGAACCGCTACCTTGGGCACAGAGTACAGGTTAGTCATTCACACCTGCAGGTATCTCTATACACCCATCCTGTTAAAACACAAATTTATGTATAACCTCCTTCCTTGAGTATACCTAATTTTGTAATTATTGTACATTTTCCCTTTTGAAAGATTAGATGTTAACTTATTCCTAAAACAGTGTAGCATAACAGGACAAGAGTAAAAAAATAAATAAATAAAGATTTTGTTATTCAATGGAGCCATATTTTCTAGATAAACATTTGAAATACAAATCTAAAATTACAGAAGATTTTTATCTGTTTGTTCAACCAGTAAGTTCTGAGCATAACTTTGATTGTAGGAAAAGGAGGGGACTGGGCTATGCCACCCATCAGTGTGAGATTAAAGCCCAATTAAAGTGTGATTCTCTGTAGCCTTTACTATACACTAGATATTGGTAAGATTTAAGGACTGAGAAATCAACGTTGATAATTCAGAGTTCTGAAGTTACCTGATGTAGACTTTAAACTTTTATCCCCAACTTCTCTAGTCATATTTTACCTGACTTTTGATGGGATTCCAGAAAAAATTAAACAAAGGTCCTATCAAGTGCAAACATCAGCTAGCACAGTGAGTAGGTCTCTGATGGGCTTTGCCATCAGACTTGCATTCAAATTGGCCACCAACTAATTAGTAGGACCCTAGGCAAGTTATCTAACCTCTTTTGAGTCGTTGAGAATTAAGTAAGGTAGTTGAGTAAAAGGTCTACCACCTTGTCTGGTACTTAGTAAATACTAAAGAAATGGTAGCCACTGCTGTTATTATCATTATTATTTTAATAGGGTTTAAAAGCCTGTCTTTTCAGACACACGTCACATTTTAGCCTGAATTGAGAAATTCTATGGTATTTTCCACAATGCTGTAAAATTTTGGTTTTGTTCTTTTAAGCAATAATTTGTAATGTTTATTTTTAAAGTTCAGTGAGAAGGTAGTAGGATACAGTAGCAAGGCCACCTGAAAAAGGTACTGGGAAGTCTGATCATCTCTCTTCCTCTTGAAGACCTGTGTTTCTGTTCATCAGTTTTTATTCTGAAAAGGACTGCAAGGGCTGCGCATGCATACACCGTGACGCTGATGCTGCTGTAATGAGAGTATTTCCTCCTAGGTAATCAGATGAGCAGCCGTCTGATGAGCATGCGCAGCGCCAACGGATTATTGATGCTTCCTCCAAAGACAGAGCAGTACGTGGAGCTCCACAAGGGCGAGGTGGTGGACGTCATGGTCATCGGACGGCTATGATGGTCACCAGCGGGAGAAAGCTTTGATGCATGTCTACATACCATTGACTGTATCCTGTAATATGCAACGGCACAGCTAGTTTTTCTGATTTGGATAAAAGTTGATCTGTATGGTCAACATCTTGAACTATATTTCAAAAGAATTTAAATACCTTTTAAAGAAAAAAAACACCTAAAAATAAATCTTAACAGACAACTCTATTCTGATTATATCAAAGCAGATTTTTCCTTTCTTGCAAATTACTTTGTGTGTTCAATGCTAGGTCTGATAGCGATAGCTTTTAGTAGACAGCAGTAGGTGCCTGCAGAACTTGTGTTTTTCTCATCTTTAAAATACAACTACTTATGCTCTTAAATCAAGGCTGTCTGCTTATTTATACTATCGTAGGCAACACTTGGATTTCCCTTCTTAGTATGCTTCATAACCGCTTTACAGAGAGCTTTTGCTTGTTCTTTATCATGTATCTCGTGTTTATGTGCACAGTGCCAAACAAAGAGTGACTGGGTGGTGGCCCTGCCCTGCCTCAAGGAGAACCATCCCCGCAGAGCGTTCGGGGGTGGGGGGGCCTCGCATCCCAGTAGCCTCATGGCACAGTACTCTTGGGCAGTAACTGGATACCTTTTATTTGAACAAACAAACTGGGGGGAAAAAATGCTTCCTTAAGTGCTGACAGCCTTTTTAACCAATACATTTAAAATTGTACAGAATAAAAAATAAAATCAAAGACTGATCTTGTACAGATATTAGTGTTACCAGCATTCATGTGGAAATCAAGAGCAAAGAAAAAACAATGTTAAACAGCTCTGTACCATAACATTTTCTGTAATGATACTGAAACTTAATGAATAAAAAAAATCCTCGATCATTATTTAAAATCCAGTGTGTGTTGGCCTTGTTAATAAAAAAGGAGAAGATTGTTATGCCATTCTGATGGGGTTCTGCCTGGATAAAAGGAATAGTTAAGATGGCTTAGCAAGGTTAAGTGGTATAAAGGAGATTTTTAAAAATATAGAGTAATCTATATTTTACTGTAGCATTGTGCAAATACAGATTAGAAAGTAGGAGAGAACCTGTAGTTGGTCTGGTCTTTCCAGTCATAGCTGGAGAATAGCAAGCAAATTTAGAGGAAAGATAGTTGATAATTTAGAAAAAAACTACATTTTTATTTCAGATGTCATAAAAACAAATTTCAAACATCTACAGTTCCTTGGAATAGAGGGGGAACATAAGTAGTGAGCCATAAAATTGCCGATGAGTACCTGGACATTTTTTTTATCATGTTTGGAAGTGAAAAATGGGAAAAATCTGTACTGACTATAGAAAATACAGTTGAAATATATGCTATCCACAATGGCTTCTTTAATAAAAACTTAGGGGCACTTTCCAAACAGTGGTAACGGGGGACATTGAATATGCTATAGAGTACTTAGTAAAGCAAACAACAAAAATTAGCCCACTAGTAGACAAGGTGCCAAATGATGGTAATGAAAAAAGCCAATTTGTAAACAATAAATATTTGATACTTATACTTGATATTTCCAAAGTTGAAAATAAAATGTTCTACATTTTAAATTTAGTTTATATGTTCAATTAAAGAAGATAAGGTTAATTAATAGAGGTCAAATGAAAGCTCATGCAAGGAGTTCTTTACCTACATTCATCCAAGAAATATTTATTAAGCATATACTGTGTGCTTGAGTACAAGGTACATCATGCTATACTATTTACAAGAATGAATAGGGATAATTGCTAACATTACAGTCCATCAAGGAAGATTAAAAAAACATGTGCAAGTAAGCATAATATTTGATATGTTTGATATTTGATAATAACATGGTAGAATGTGTAAAATGTGATAAATGCTGTAATTCAGATTTAAAGAGTTGGAGGAGTTCAAATGAGAACCTTCTACAAGGTAAGATTTCAAGGGGTAAGAAATTTTAGTGGGTCTTGAAGTCAAGGTAGAATTTTAAAGGTGATAATGCAGGAAGAAGGGTATTCTAGAAACAGAATGTACAATTAATAATAATTGTTATTTTTATTATAGAATTTAAGATCCACAAGGGCAATAATTTTTGTTTGTTTTGTTTACTGATATTATCCCCAAATCCTTAGAGTTCCTGGCATATGTGCATATGGATAGGCAGAAGTAAATGTTTGTTCCATGAAACATTATACAGAGCTTACCAGGCACTTTTCTAAGCACTTTTCATATGTTTAATTTTCACAACAACCCTGTAAGTGTTATTATTCCTATTATAGATGAGGAAACTGAGGCACAGAGAGGTTAGGAAACTTGTCCAGGGTGACACAGCTAATAAAAGGAGGAGCCAGGATTCAAACTTAACAATCTGGCTTCAGAGTCCATATTCCCAAACACTAAGCCATAGAAACAGAAAATTGATATATTTGTAAGACCAAAACAGTACATGTTTGAGGCCCAAACTATGGACTTCTTGAATACCAGGGTAAGGAGTCTAGATTTATTCTAGAGACAATTAAACCATTAGAGATTCTTGATCAGGGAAGTATTAGGATCATTTTTTGGGAAAAAAAAAATGCTCTGGCAGCATTGAATAGGATAGACTGGATTGGGGAAAAACTGAAGAGAGACACCAATTAAGAAGTGATCATTATTGTGCAGGTGAGGGGTGACGATAGCCTTAACCATAATGTTAGAGGGGTAATGGTGATAGGAAGGTCATGACATCTGAGTGTGCCTCTGGACCTAAAAAATGGAAAGAATTTTATGACTGATTACAAGTGTTGGAAAGGAAGTTAGACAAATAAGAGATGTTTCAAAGTCTTTAGTCTTGGCTGACTGAGAACATGTTCAACAAGAAACAAAAAAAAGAAAGTCAGAAACATGGATTTTGTGGAGGAGCTGGTAAGTTTGGACATGTGTTTGAGATGTCAGAGGGGCCCTAAGGTAGCCATGTCCTGTTGGCATTTGAAAGTATAGGTTAGGAGTTCACAGAAGAGATACTGGCTGAATATAACCTTGGGGATCCTTCACATGAAGGTAGTATTTGAAACATAAGGGTAGATAGGAAAGATTATTAAGGAAGGACTTGCCAAGAAAAGAGGACAGAGCCTTGGGAAGCACCTTATTTTGGAGTGTTGGAGGAAAAAGCCATGGATGCAATGAAAGGAAGAGCAGTTTGTAGAAGAGGAAAAACAGGGTACTGCAGTGTCCCAGAACACGGGAGGAGAGTTTCAAGAAGGAATGATAATCAACTGTCAAAAATAAATGTCAAGAAGAATGAGGGCTCAAAAGAATGTATTGATCAGGCAATCATTTGTGAGCTGCAAGAGTGCAATTTCAATAATGGGTTGAAGGCAAAAGCCAGATAGCAAAACAGAAACCGTGACTATGAAATATTTGGAACTTGGGCATGAGGAAAGAAAGATAGACACAGGATGGTAGCTTGAACCAATAACAAGATGAAGAAAAGATATTTGTTTGAAAAACAATAGTAGTGGGCATATTAAAAATTTGAGAGTAAGGTTCCAGATGGGGAAAGGAGAAGAGGAAGGAAGGGCTGGATTAAAGGACACTGATGGCCCAGTTAGGCTGGAGAAGAAAAGGAACATTTTTCTTTCTGAATTAGAAAAGGAAAAAAATAGATATGAACATATTTGAGGTAGATTCAAGGGAAATTTAATTTAAAACTTAAGGGTCAATAAAATGGTTCTACTTGGCACAGTGAAAGTCAATGTCATATAATCTATTTGCATTATTTGACCAAAATTATTTTAAAATTATGTATGTATGATGTATTACAATTCTTTGTCTTAGTAGTTGATATTTAAATAAAAGATTATAAGGTGTTTTTAGATTCTTGCTTATAGCTGTGTGGAAGTTAAGCAGTTCCTTTTTTTCATGTTTGTTTGTTTTTTCTTATGATTATACAAGCAGTACATACTTATCCACCAAAGTCTACAGCAAGACTGCCACCCCCACTAAATTGACCCAGCCCCTTCTCTAGGTCACAAAGAAGTGCTTGACCCTCTTCTGTCAAGGACCCACCTTTCTGCCCAAGCCCTATACTCTATCTAACCTATAGTGTCACCTCTCCCTACTTACATGCTTTCCCATCAGCTTTATACATCCTTAAAATTCTCCTATGTCCTAAAAACAAAAATGAAAACCTCCCTTAGCCCCCTGCCTACCCATAGCAATTACCCAGTCTTTCTTGTTCCCTTCAGAGCTTGACTTTCAGAAAGAATTGTGTATATTTATCTATGTAGTTTCCATTTCTGGGGTTCTTCATTCTTTGGTGTGGATCCACATTTCCATCTGGTATCATTTTTCTGTTGCCTGAAGGAGTTCCTTTAAAATTGTTGTGTGGGTCTGCTGGTGATACATTCTTTCAGCTTTTGCATGTCTGAAAAAGTATTTGTTTTGCTTTTGTTTTTGAGAGAGATTTTTGCTGGGTATAGAACTCCAGGTTTATAGTGTTTTCCTTTCATTACTTTAACTGCTTGCATTGTTTCCAATGAGAAATCTGCTGTCATCCTTATCTTTGTTCCTCTGTACATAGCATATATGTTTTCTCTGGCTGCTCTTAAGACTTTTTTCTTTGTTGTTGTTTTTGATCGGTTTGATTATGATGTGTATTGGTGCAGTTTATTGAGGTTGAGGTTTATTGAGCTTCTTGGATCTGTGGATTTATCATTTTCACCAAGTTTGTAAAGTTTTCAGTTATTTCTTTAAATACTTTTTCTGTTTGCCCCACTCTCTTCTCTCTTTCGGATACTCCAATTATCTGCACATGAGGGCACTTGAAATTGTCCCACAGTTCACAGATGCTCTTAATTTGGGGGGGACTCTTTTTCTCATTGTGTGTTTCATGTTGGATGGGCTCTGTTTCTATGCTTTAAGTTCACTACTCTTTTCTTCTGCAATGTCTAATCTACCATTAGTCCTATCGAGTGCAATTCTCATCTTAGACATTGTAGTTTTTATTTTATTGAAATATAGTTGATTTACAATATTGCATTAGTTTCAGGTGTACAGCATAGTGAATCAGGTATGGGTTTTTACAGATTATATTTCATTATAGGTTATTACAAGATATTGAATATAATTCCCTGTGCTATGGTAATTCCTTGTAAGCAGTTCCTTTTTAACCTGCTTTCTCGGTTCTGTGCTTTGGTTGTTTCAAATCATGTAACACACAATGAAAAAAAGAATATAAGCAGATTACATTTACCAAGTAAACGCTATTAAGTGATGTTGCATGTTACAGCAAGTGGATCCTTTGGATGGCTTTTGTTTTTTCAATTATTTGCTAACCAAAAAAACTTTGTGGATCTAACCCATAACCAACTCTTGATCTTCATGAAACCCTAATAGGTAAGTCATTATCATTCCTAATTATAGAAAGTAGGGATTTATGTACATATAGAATTCAAAGCAAATAAATTATGTTTCTTATTATCCCAATGATGATGGGTGGATCTATGTTAAATAATACATTGTATTCTAACAGGCTTATAAGAAGTGTTGAGCTCAACTGTCTATAACAGAGTTACATCATTATAGAGTTCATTTATAACTTGGCCTAGAACCAAGAGGTTAACAAGTTGCTCAATTCTGGCCATTTTGTAAGGTCAGTTAGCAATATGTCTCCTGTAGTCTTTTGTAATAATTCAATAATTTATTTAACAAGCATATATTAAGTTCCTACAGTATGCAAGGCTCCATGCTAGGCTCTGAGGATACAGTGATGAATGAGACCAAGACTCATATCCAAGAGAAGACAGATTATGAGAAAGCAAAAAAAAAAATTTTTTTTGAAATACAGACTATGAAAAGTCTATGAAGAAAATCCTATTATAGTTAGAGAGTAACTGGATGGAGCCCTAAATC